AAAAAAAAAAAAAAAAAAGAATGTGGGGTTAAGATAACATGGGTCCTAACAACACACACATAATAAATTTATCATAAGGAACAACCTGTACTAGGAGCTCTCTGGAGGTATGAAGGTGAATGCCAAGTTCAAGTCACAAGGAAGTAAGACCAAGCATTCTCTTCCTGCCCATTGAAACAGACCCTGTGCCTGACCTGTGTCATCTCTGGAGACCCTACCCCTGAAATCTCTTGGCTGAAGAATGACCAGCCTGTCACCTTCCATGACCGCTACAAAATGGAGGTGAGGGGAACAGAGGTCACCATCACCATTCAGAGAGTCAACAGTGAGGACAGCGGGCGCTATGGTGTCTTCGTCAAGAACAAGTATGGTTCTGAGACGGGCCAGGTCACCATCAGTGTATTCAAGCATGGGGAAGAGCCCAAGGAGCTGGCGAAGATGTGACAGTGTCCAGGCACAGCCTGAAGGCTGGTCTCCATAGACCAGTGGGGCCAACCAGTGGGTCATAGCCTAGCACGGGCCATGAGGGCAGGGCAAAAAGGAGGGGTATGGGGAGAACCCAGGATGTGACGATGGGATGGAGTGGCCACACCTAAGTGGAGAAGAAAGGTCTTGCTGGGGTCCTGAGAGGCCTCTGGGAGATTAGGGTGAGCACTGGACTTGGAATAGGCCACCTAGATGCATTTCGGTGTCTACTGGCACCTAGCAGGTAGGGGCAATGTGCACTGCTAAACTCTGGGACTTCCTTCCATGTAGAATTAATTAGCAGATCCCAGATGTCAGCAGTGCTGATGAGCCCTGCCATAAACTTATATATGGCACCCCTCTTTTAGGATACTGAAATTTCAATTTGTGTAAGTTCAGCAGACATTGATTTGAAGTCTAGCTTGGGCTGGGCTGAGCATAGCACTGGGAATACAAAGGTAAATAATATGCAGGCCCTGCCCACGAGGAGGTCTCAGTCCAATAGGAGAGACAGCCCGGGTGCAAAAGACTCCAGGACAAGGCAGGAGATAATAGAGATTATAAAACAGGTCCAAGTAAGGTGCCACCAGAGGTCAGAGGAGGGAAACAGCAGTTCCTCCCAAAAGGGGGAGGAAGGGCTTTAAAACACCTTCACACAATTGGCAGAATTAGTGTTGGGCTCTAAAAGTGAGTCTGATTTGGAACTGTAACGGGAGAAGGGCATTTCAGGAGCAGGATGTGGTGGCAGCAAAGGCAAGGAGGTCGGTGAGGTGGTGTTGGGTGCCAGGCTGGGAGCTGAGAACCTTCAGGGCTGCTTCCAGGATGGGGCCTCTGGCTGGAGTGACAGCCGCTGGTTGGCCTTGTTTGATGGATCTAAGTACTTCTCTGCCCTCCAGTCACCTTCTTTTTAAAAATACAATGGGAAGGGATTATAAAATGTTGATGCTTGTTGTAAAATTTTGGAAAGCACTAGAAATGATAAAGGAGAAAATAAAACTACTCTATACTCCCAACACCAGGCAGTAATGCCTGCCCCTGATTTCTAAAGTGACTTCTGAACTGAAGGATAAATGAATCGCTCCTGCCCCCACCACCTCTGCACACATCAGGGCATGCTGGGTGACTGATATCCCACCAGTGGCTCACATCCCAGGCTATGTGGTGTGGTCAGGACAGGCGTTCAGTACAACTGGCTAAACTTTGGGGAAATGTGTAGGCCTTGGAGGCGAACTTCTCTGGCTTGAAGCACCCCTCTGCTACACGCTGTCTATGTGATCTTACCTAATACTTTTCCTTTCTCTGGGCCTCAGTTTCCCATGTGTAAAATCAGAAGCCTGAAAGATCATTTTGAGTGCTCTTCCAGCTGATACTATGATTTTTTTAATACTACCCAGAACTCATTCTCCTTTACTTTTCTCCCTTCCCAGGGATATATATGTAGTAAATTAAAAGAATCCATTCAAGCTCAGCGCCTGTGGCTCAAGTGGCTAAGGTGCCAGCCACGTACACCCAAGGTGGCGGGTTTGAATTCAGCCCAGGCCCACCAAACAAAAATGACAGCTGTAACCAAAAAATAGCCAGGCATTGTGGCAGGCACCTGTGGTCCCAGCTACTCGGGAGGCTGAGTTAGGAGACTCGTTTGAGCCCAGGAGTTGGAGGTTGCTGTGAGCTGTAATGCCATGGCACTCTACCCAGGGGGACAGCTTGAGGCTCTGTCTCAAAAAAATAATAATAATTATCCATTCTATCCCACTCTCTCATTTTCACACTTAAGAGTTTCAGAAGAAAGTCTTGGCTGCTTCTATGTGTCAATGAAAAATGATACAAATTCCAATGAAATTGGAAAAGCCTGCTGGCTCTGATGAAACTTGGTGTGAGTGCCCCCTGTTGGTGCAGATTTCATTTACCTTCTAAGACTCCATCATGGGGGTGGGGTTGCTGTGAGTTTCATGATTCGTGACAAGCTAGTTTGGGGGCAAGAGCTGGTCCCTGCTCTGCTACATTAGAGTCCTTAACATATTAATCATAGACTTTTTTTTTTTTGAGACAGAGTCATTTTGTTGCCCTCAGCAGAGCACCGTGGAGTCATAGCTCACAGCAACCTCAAACTCTTGGGCTCAAGTGATTCTCTTCCCTCAGCCTCCCAAGTATCTGGGACTATAGGGACCCACCACCATGCCCGGCTATTTTTATAGATACAAGGTCTTGCTCTTGCTCAGTCTGGTCTCAAACTCCTGAGCTCAGGCAATTTACTTACCTCAGCCTCCCACAGTGTTAGGATTACAGGCATGAGCCACCATGCCAGGCCCAATCGTAGGCATTTTTTAAATTCCTGTTCTGATAATTCCAATATCCTGGAATATCTGATTCTGGATCTGATGCTTGCTCTATGTCTTCAAACTGTGTTTTTGCCTTTTAGTGTGCCTTGTAACTTATTTTTAAAAGGCAGACATGGCATCCAGGCAAAGGGAACTGCAGCCAATAGGCCTTTAGGGATGGGATGGTGAGGTGCTGAGGGCAGGGAAGTTCTACAGCCTATAATTAAGTCTCAGTCTTTCATGAGATTGTGCCCCAGACTTCACAAGTGCGTCTCAGTTTTTTTTTTTTTTCACCCCTTGGGTGGGATAGGTTGATTAGAAGCCTGGAGTTGGGTAATTTCCCTTTTCACATTTGTGGCCAGACTTTGGCAAAACCCCATCTGATTAGGCTCTGATAAAATAGTTTCTCCTGAGGTCAGGCTTTGTTAAGAAGACTAGAACGTTCAGGGGTATTTCAAGATGATTCTTTTTATCCTCTTGGGCTAGAAGCCAGAGAGGATTTTTCTCTGATCTTCATTATAAGAATTCGGTCCAGCTCCTAGAAGTAAAACTCACAAAAGTATGAGGGCCCCCTGTTGGCTGTGTCCCCTGGAGTTTTCATCTCTCAGACTTGACCACACTGGGCCTCCAGTGATTTGTCTGTCACAGTTCAGATTTCCTCAGCCTGGCACTGGTTCCCACTAGGGCTTCTGCCTGTGGGTGTCTGCTCCAGTAAGTTGCCATGCTCTGTCTCCACCTGCCCATCTCTCCAGTTTAGAGGACAATGGTTTGCACTGTGACTCACTCTTGGATGGATGGATCTCCTAGATTTCTCAGATCTCACTTATTTCTCAGTTTGTTCAGCTTTTTACTTGTTGTTAGGACAGGGTGGTAACTTCCAAGCTTACATGCTGGACAGAAACCAGAAGGCCTTGGCTCTGCAGCACAGACAGTTTCTCTTGGTCCAGTCTCCTTGGATAGATTCCCCAGGGTGCATCCCAGTGCTGAGGACCAGGAGCCCCATCATCCTCATTTCTCTGCTCTCTTTCCCTGTCCCTGCCTCACAGAGCCCAGGCTTGACCAGGTTTTTTATTAGGATCCTACCTAGGAAGACTATGGACAGGGCAGGTCCAAGGAGTGGGGCAGTGGGAACGAGGTCCCTGAGACCTTACATTATTGTCTCTCTCAGCTCCTCCCACTTAATCCCAGTGGAACCTCAAGTTCCACAGGACCAGGGTGGGAGGCAAGGGAGGGAGAGCCTTGCTGAAGACTATGAATCAGGGCAGCGCTTATGGCTCAAGGAGTAGGGCGCTGGCCCCATATACCAAGGGTGGCAGGTTCAAACTCAGCCCCTGGCAAAAAAACCAAAAAGAATATGAATCAAGGGCAAAGCATAGTGATTCACATCTGTAATCCAGCACTTTTGGAGGCCCAAGCAGGAGGATCAAAAGGCTAGGAGTTCAAGATCAGGCTGGGCAACATAGCAAGGCCCCATCTCTGGAAAAAGTTAAAAATATTAGCTGTGCATGGTGGTGTACACCTATAGTCTCAGCCAGGCTGCACTTGAGCCCAGGAGGAGTTCCAGTGAGCTGATTGAGCCACTGCACTCCAGCCTGGGCAACAGAGCAAGACTCTGTCTCTAAAAAAAAAAAAAAA